TGGTGTGGGAGCCGGGAGAATGCATGAGGGGCTGTCAGGTCCGACCAGCCACTTCACACACGACCGAACATCTGCTGGTGCGCGCCGCCTCTTCCGCATGTCGGAGACGTAGCGAGGAGCAAGAGAGAGCCACGTCCTGGGGGGGACAGCATACACAGAAAGTAAATGAATGCATGAAGTTATTTTAGGTGATGGCGTATGGTATGGAGTAAGAAAAGAAAACTAGGGTAATTGGATTGAGAGAGGCTATAGGGGGCAGTATTTTCACTAGGAGATCCAGGAAGGCCTCTTGGAGGAGTCCATATCTGAGGAGACTCGAATGTTGAGAAGGAGTCAAACATGAACGGATCTGGAAAAAGAAGATTCGAGACAGGAAATGGCAGTTTGAGGATAAAAGCTTGGTCTGTTACAGAAGCAGACAGGAGGCCAGTGTGTTTGACAAGTGGCGAGGGAGGGGCTGCAGTGGGGGTGTGGGGAACGTGGAACGAGCCAGAGGGAGGGCAGGGGCGCTGTGTGCCCTGTAGACAGGTAAGGAGATACGGTTTCGATTTAGGTCAGTGGGGGCCATTGCAGTGCGTGCTTGGGAGGCGACATGATTCCGTCACTGCTTTTCCACATCCCAGTGGCTGCTTATGGAGAACAGATGGGGGTGAGGTGGTGCGGAGGGACATGTATAGAATGGGCCGTGACCCAGAGAGACACTGAACACTTGTAAGAAGACTTATTTCAAAGTTAGACCAGAAAAAGTTTGATGCAGGAACTGGTCCTCGAAGCCAAGACCTGCAGCTAAGTTGGAGTTGGCCAGAGAAGAGGAGAAATGGAAAGGAGAGGAGGCGGAACATTCCAGACAGAGGGGATAAAACATGTCAGAGATGTGCGGCAGGCAGCGATCAAAATAGGCCCTCAGTCCACAGGGGCAACGGGGGGTGGGGGTAGGCTCCATCGGAGCCAAAATTGAGATAAAAGCTCTACACCAAAGACTGAATTAACATGGGGTTCCTGGCAGCCAAGGCAAAACTTTCCTGCCTTCATGTATCAGGCTGGAGTGAGGGCAGGGGATTACCTATACATTGTTTTCTCTTGGCACCCCCGAGATCCAGCTCTAATCTTGCCTGGCTACAGAAGTCTCCCTAGAAGAGGTCCCGAGAGCTAAGGCAAAAGCAGCCCCACCCATCAGCCTTCCACTGAACCCAAGTAGTCCCCTCACCTCAGTGTCCCGTCTCAGGTCCAGGCTGAATCACGGGCTCAAGGCAAACTTCTTTCTGATGATTTCCAAAGCGAGATCGACCCTTCACAAACAAAGACTCGACTTCCCATGGTGCGAACACCTTCCCTACCAACCAGGCCGCTGCAGGTCCTCAGCTCACCTCCAGTGCTGCCCTGTGCACTGCCCAGAGGCCACAGAGATGCGCTCGGAGAGCGGGGGCTTGCACACCAGTTCCCCCCATTCTGAAAGGGGCCCTCCTGTCCCGCAGGGTCGGACCGGTACCTGGAAAGCCGGGATGCCTCTAGACTGAGCGGCCGGGACCCCTCCTCTTGGACAGTCGAGGACGTGATGCAGTTTGTTCGGGAAGCGGATCCACAGCTTGGACCCCACGCAGACCTCTTCCGCAAACACGTAGGTGCCCCAGCCTGGCCTCTCCATCTCCGCTGGGAGGTTTGCCTCTGCACCGTAGACTTCCAAGCGTGGGCCACATGTGTAGTCTGGGTCCCTTGAAACTGAACGCAGATCTGCGGCAGGTGATGAGCACAATCTAGAGACGCCAAGTAATAACTTAGTCTCTCAAGTCTGGCAGACTTCAGTAGGTACCGTGCTCGGCTCGCTCCTACAGTGTGGGGCCGGGTCCAGCCATGTTCCCACGGCGTTGTGGACCGAGCTCAGCTCCAGGGACATGAATCTCAGTCTCAGGGACATTGATCGCAGTCTCTTCCCCTGGGACTGCTGACTCTTCCAGCCTCCTGCCCAGGCGTGAGAATGAGGGGCCTCGACCCAGTTAGAGTCCCTTGCCAAAAGACCCCAAGCCTCCAGCCTCGTCAGTCCCCCATCATCCACCTGCCCCCCAAGAGCCTCTAACGTCTTGTCAGGTGCCCATCTGGCTCCATGGCCAAAGCTTGCTCCCGATCCCCCCACGAGACCAAGTCCTCCCCGGGCCCTGGCTGCCTGGTGCTGCCCTGCCCCATGGGCACCCGGCAGCTCTACTCCTGTCCCAGCGGATGGGCCTGGGGTGCTGTCTGGGATCCCACCACTCTGCGTGCCTGCTTCGATCCTGGCTCTCACAGAGGGGTCTCCCCTGCACAGGAGAGAGACAGCTCACAAATAGCAGTTGAGGGTCAGCATGAAAGCAGGTCCTGACAAGGCGTCTAGGCAGGGGGAATGGAGCGCCCGAGGTTTGAGAGTGGGAACTGCCTCTCAGGCAGCAGAGAAAGGAAGGCCGTGTGACGCGCCCACACTGCTGGGTTCGGGAGGTTCGGGGGAGGCGAGCCTGCAGCCGGTGGGTGGACCCTGTGGCCAGCCAGGCCCTGACGGCGCCCCCGCCCCGCCCCCAGGAGATCGACGGCAAGGCCCTGCTCCTGCTGCGCAGCGACGTGATGATGAAGTACATGGGCCTGAAGCTGGGGCCCGCGCTCAAGCTCTCCTACCACATCGACCGGCTGAAGCAGGGCAAGTTCTGACCCGGGGTCCGGCCGACCCGAGCCCACGCAGGTGGGCGTTCTCCTCCAGGAAGGGGGTCGGCAGCCCACCGCAGGTGCCTCAGCGGGGCTCCAGGCCACCTCGGCACTCCAGGAGGCTGTGCCGAGCCGCCACTGCCACACTCTCCTGCCACGATGCGTCCTTCCATGAAGGACTGAGGGCCGGGGCTGGCTGCACTTCCCTCAGCCCGGTGGGGCTCTGCGTCCTCCTCTATTTATTTCTCCAGCATGGCTGCCTCACTGGGAGTCCAGACTGAACACCTTCCGGGTGGTGGGGAGGAGCAGCTCTGGGGCTTGGAAGACAGGGCTCTGAACTGACACTCGTGCCGGGCCTTCATCACCCCTGGGCGGGGTGGGGCGTGGCACCCCTGGCCCGCAGCTCCTGCCCCTCACCGGACCCCCCCACCCCAGACTCATGGTGCAGTCCTTTGCCTTTTTACAAAAGGCCTTTTCTTACTGTTAATTTATTGTTTCTGGCACTTGGCAAACCCTCTGGTTACTGCTCCTCATAGCAGACTTGGGCTTCAGGAGGAGGGAGACCAGTCTGTTCTGAGCCCAGAGAGGCCCTCCCCAGATGCGAGTGGCCCCTTTTCAGAGGACACGACCCTAGGGCACTTCCTCTTTGGAATGAATAGGCCCAGAAAGCCCTGACCACGTCGCTTAGCCAGGGATGGGAAGAGCCCGTCATCTTCCCCACTGGGCCCTTTGCAGCCTGGACCTCATCTGTAGGAATGCGGGTTCCCTGCCCCACGCTGTCCCCCATCACGGTTCCTAACCCTGGCTGGAACTGCTGCCCAAGACAGCTGGGCCCAGCAACATTCAGCCGCAGAGGCCGTCGGGTGGGTGGCAGGCCCCAGGCTGGAGGCACCTCCGGCCCTGCTGTCCATGTGCGTCCTGTAAGCCAGCCCGCGGCACAGCTGCTCCCGCTGCCAGCTGGACTCCTTTATGTCAGTTTGTTTATAAATAAAACCAGTACCGATGCCAGCGTCTCGTCCGTGGACAGCAGGTCACTGCTCGGGAGGCTCCCCTTCTCTTGGTCTGTTTTCTCATCTGTAAAATGAGGAACTTAGACAAGATGACCCCTAAGAATCCTGATCCCAGCAGTCCCTAAAGAGCAAGCTGTCTTCTCAGTGTCCACTGGGGCCCAGCACGACACAGCCCCCGGAGGGGCAGTGTGGGAACTGGTCTCTGCCCTCCAACTCCCCTCGGGCACAGCAGAGCAGGCGAGTGGCTAGGAGTGACCAGAGCAGGGGGCCGTGCGTGCAGCCTCTCCACGAGCTGCGCTGGCTGGGCCCGTGCTCACCCTCCCTCGGGCGAGGATAGCAGCTGAGGCCGGGAACTCAAGCCCAGACTTGCGTGTCCAGGCCCGTGGTGGGGGAGCCGGAGTTGGGGGCAGCTGCGCAGCGGGGCACCACCTGGAAGGGACAAGCACACGCTGGCGTGCCGCCGCCTGTGTCATGTAGCTGCTCTCATCCTCAACAGCCGCTGTGTAGCCGAGGTCCCACAGGCAGTAACCTGGCTTCCAGGCCGAGGCTCGAGCCAGCTGGGAAGCGTCGGGTGGGTCGGTTCTTTCTTTGGGCCCCTCTGGGTTTGGATGAAGAAGTCGGAGGCCCCACCAGCTCTCACAGTGACCAGTTCTGATGTCACAACTGACGACTTCTGCACTCGTTCACTGAGGTTCCAGTCACAGTCACCAAGACACAGTCAGGGTCAAGGCGCCAGCCAGACCAGGCTCTGATCTTCCATGGGCTCAGGGACACTGGAGTCTGGTAGGCTGTGCTATTGGGTCAGTGTACTCCCGACAAGAGCCTCGCGGAAGCCTGACAGCGACCTTGATGTGATCCTTACCCAATAGACAGCGACCGAGGGTCACACACCACACTGAGGCTGGGCCTTGTGGAGCAGAGCAGCACCCACTCCCACCCTCTTGTCACCGAGATACACAACTGATTGGGGGACATTTGCTTGAGGGCTTACAGTGCTGAGCTGTTCAGCACCTTAACCCTCCCATCTCCCCCACTTTTGGGGGGAACTAAAGAGGCTAAGCCACCGGCCAGAACTTCGTGGCAATAAGGGGAGAGCTACGCCCTGCGCCTCCAACTCCCGCCAGCAGCCTGCGCCAGTCCCCAAACAGGCTGCACTAGCACACCCACCTTGGCGGCTCTCAGACAGGAAGCAGTCCTCCTCGGAGGGGGAGGCAGTCCTTCTCCCTGGCTGCCCAGTGACAGGTCAGGTGCGAGGGAATGAGACATTTCCAGGACAAGTGGGTTCACCCTGGCTTTCCAGCGTGATGCCCCAGAACTTGATGGACACACTTCTATCTGGTTGGTTCATTGCACTCGGGCACCCCAGGCTTGGCCCTCGGGCTGCATTTATAGCTCCTGCACAGAGCCCCAAGTCCAGATCATTAGCAGTCCGGGGTCACTTCCACCACAACTAAGGCCTCCAAATACCTGACATTGCACTTTGAACTGGTTTCCAGGGGAACAGAACAGAGAAAGATAACCAAGTTGTTAACCCTTTAATCCTAGCTCTCAGATCAGAATTGAATGTAACTTAAGAGGCCAGCAGGTGGCATGGTGGTTAAGGCACTCGATTCCCAATGGCACATTGCAGTTTGAATTCCAGACCCGGCAGCTTGAAAATCACACCAGGCATGTGTGTGTGCATGCCCAGAATCCTGAGAGAAGACAGGAGAAGGAATTATGGTATGGCTATCCCTCCTGTGGGGGATTTCTCACTTTTCCTCTCTGTCTCTCTCTGGTGAGAGCATGTGCCCTATGGCAAAAATCAAAAAAAAAAAAAAAAAACCTTGTAATTATTTCACACCTGAACTAGCCCCGGCAGGCTAGAGCATACAGCTGCGGTCTTGGGAGATGGCACAGTCCCCAGCAATCCGGGAAAGTGGGATGGGGCGACAGGGAGAGCCCCGTCCCAACCCCAGCACCGTGACAGGGAGATGGCATTGACTCCCAGCTGAGACCATCCTGAGGAAAACCAAGCACTCAGGAGCTGAGGGGAACCAAGGCTCCTCTTGGAGGTGAATCGCAAGGAGGGGCGGGCACGTTTCTGGACTCCTTAGACCCACCCCATCTTTGGCTGCCCCTCCCTGCTGGCTACAAGGCAGCAGGCATCTTTGGGGAGCCGCGGGAACCTCCTGTGAGATGAGGCGTTGGCAGGCAGAGCCAGTTGGGGGATGCCAATCCTGCCCTCACCAGGTGCCACAGTCATTCCTTGGGGAAAGCCTGAAAGTGACTCCTCTCTTCTTACAACCAAAGCTAAAAGTATGGAAAACCTTCCCAGGAAGAAGAGTCCGGCTTGGCAGACCCCAGCGGCCCATGTCACCCCGGATCCATGCACCTGGTCTACCACCACGGTCTATCGGCCATGCTCCAGCCTGGGGACAATCACAGCCAGGTGCCAGGCTGCAGATCCGCAGCCGGGACACCAAAGCTACCGAAGACCCTCCCCGCGGCCCGCAGCCAACAGTCCCCAGGGACAGACACTGGGTGGAGCACTTGGGGCTCAGAGCCTCTGTCGGAAGTCAGGAGGGAACCTAACCGTGTCAGCAGTAGGCGGAGGGAGGGTTCAGGACGGAGGCGGCAGTGGCGGGCTCATGACATCACCCTCGCCTTGAAGGCCTCTGCTCAGTGTGCTCTTCCTAACGTCCCCTCTCCCTCATGCGGCTGATCCAGCCCTGACCTGCCCCTTGGCTGGGCTCCCTGTGATTTGAGGGAGAGAGATGGAAGGCAGACAGCCCTTCCTGATGTGGCCCTGTGGGATGCCCTCCAGGTGACATGAGTCATTCCAGGCCACTCCCTGCCCCTTGTCTTGGCCCCACCTCACATTCCCAACTATTTGTCCCCAATGCTGAGGTCTGACCTTCAGGGCTCAGACCCCAGAGAGAGGTCTGAAGGGGCTCCTTGTCCCACAGTTCTAAACTCGCCTGCTATGCCCATGGGCCAAGCACCTGCACATCCATTAGAGCCCGAGGTGCTGGAAACGGCCCCATACGTGCAGTGCGCTTCTGAGCTTTACAGGTTATTTTGTAAATGTATTTGGTGCTTGCAGTGAGAGACAGTGTTTACCTGCACCCCTCAGGAGTGGAGCTACATTCCACTCAAGTTCCTCCCCAAGCGTCTGCCTCAGTCCCTGAGGGAAGCAAGAATCCAGAAACATCTTCCCAGCCCTGGCCCCAGGAAGGCAGCCTTCCCTGCACTGTCAATGACTTCCTGGGTTGAAGCCTCTGCCTTTGGCCTCGGTCCTCACTCCCCTAATAAGAAACAGCATGGGGAAGAGCTGCTTTCCGTCTGTACTCGGCAAAGGCCAGAGCCTCGCCCACCCCGGGGCAGGTGCCTGCCCTGGTACAGGCTGTCTTGGTTCAGAAGAGATGCAGTCCCCGAGCACCTGCAGGGCTCTCCTGGGCATGGAGGAACTGGCGCCCAGGGAGCCCTGGGACCCACCGTGTGCATGCTGTCCATCCCGGAGGCAGGGGCTCTGTTGGGCCCTGGAGCTGGACGGGCATTGCAGAGGAACTAAATACATCTTTGACCCTGGATTCTGGAAGCTGCCCAGATGAGCCATCTGGTCAAGCAGTGCGGGGTCATCAGCCGTATCTGTCTGCGGGTGTTGGTGCATGGGGAGTGGGAGAGGAGTTTTCCCTTTGACTCCCCTGTCTGCCTGGGGCTGGCCGGCAGGCATTGTTGAGCCTCCGTGAGATCACAGAGCAGCCGAGCAGGCCCCGCCCACTTCCTAGACCCCTGGCTGCCCCTGTCCCTGTGCAAAGTCTCTAAGTGCCCTGGGAGCGCTGACGGGGTTGGGGAGGCTGTGGGAGCTCAGACTGGCACCTCCTGTGCTTCCCCTGGAGCCAGCAGGGCATGACGGCCAGGGGCCTCCCCTCCCCCCCTATACCTCTTTGCCCTAAATGACCCCACCTGGCCGAGGTGGCCCCCAGGCCCTGACTGCCACCAGGATCCAATCTGAAAAGATGCGGGCTGGAGGTACCTACCACACGACCCCGAGGCCGGTGCGTGGACACCTGTGCGCAGCTCAGGAGCGAGGCTCCCTGGCTGCAGGGGGTTGGGGGAGGCATAGGAGCCCCAGCTTTAGCCCCGGTGCTGTCCTCCCCAACACTGCTCTGCTCAAGCCCTCCCGACCAGCGGTGGTGGACTCACTGTAGACTCAGGGCCCAGGAACCCCTCCAATCATAAGTAAATATGCAAAGACTTTCTGGGGAGGGGCCATGGCTTTCCTCAGTGTTGAAAAGCAAAAGAACCTTTGCTCTGACCCTCTGGGGCGGCCGCTGCTGGTCTCGGCTAGGTCGGGCCAGGTGGGGAGGAGCAGGGGGCCCCTGGCCGGTCCTCCAGTCTCTGTAAAGGAGGAAGTAATCATCGTCCAGTGTGCAGGAAGCCCCAAGGGCACCTCGGAGGCACCAGCCCATGGCCTGGGGAGGGAAGACAGCCTTACGGCCATTGCAAGGGTGTGGTGGGACCCTTGGAGACCTGAGTTTTGGTCCCTTCTGCTGTCTCTGGGTAGGCTTGGGTGTCCCACGGGCTCTGCCTGGCTCGGTCCTGCCTGACTGCTCTCTCCTGTCCTAGGCCTGGGCCCCTGAGGGCCCCTGCCCTCTCCCCACTCCCTGGCCTTGCCCAGCCTCTGCCATCCGGAAGTCTCCCTGGAGCTGGCAGCCCGAGTCTCAGGGCCCAGGGAAGAGCAACCAGCAGTGAGGAGTCCTGGAATCCCTTGCAGGGGAGAGCCTTGACCCCCAGGAAGCAAAAAGTACAAACAGGTGTGGGAGCCCCCGATGGAACCCCCGGGTGAGCAGCCCCCACCAAAGCCAGAGCTCTCCCCAAAAAAAGCCCTGTGTGAGGACTCCGACCTCGAGGCGGCTCCCAGCATGCACACGCTCTATGTAGGCCACCTGAACCCCCGGTTCTCAGTGCCCGTACTCACCTGCCTGCTGCGCGACACCCTGGACCGGCTCGAGCTGCCCGCGGCGCCGGGGCACACCAACGTGG